GGGTAGGAGGGCCCGTGAGAGCGAATATCTGGGTTTATCTGTCAGCGCGAACGGGACCTAAAAGTCAAAAGGAAAGCAGATGTTTTACCTTTGATACTTGATCGACTTCATTTTTACCCTGCAACAAGGGTTCTTTGGTGAGCAATTCGCCAAAGATGCACCCAATACTCCACATGTCGATTTCCGGCCCGTACTTTTCTGCGCCCAGCAGGAGCTCCGGGGAACGGTACCAGAGCGTTACAACCAGCTGGGTCAGCTTCGGCGGCGGATCGCCGTAGTACCGTGCCATGCCGAAGTCGGCAATTTTGATCTCGCCGCGGTTGTTCATCAGGAGGTTTGAGGTTTTCAGATCACGATGCATGATCCAGTGGGAGTGGAGGAACTCGAGACCGGAAAGGATTTGAAGCATGAGGGTCTTGATTTCCGAAGGGAGGAACGGTTCGCGCATGTCGTCGAGTAAAGTTTTTAGATCATGTTCGAGGAAATCCATAACGAGGAATACACTGTTGGCGGGATAGAGGTGCCCAGAGCCCCGAATTGGTTAATACTGGTGTATCTTGAACTTTTCAGGATGAAACAACACCAACGCTGGAAGAGGGCATTGAAAGACTGGGGGTAGAGGATAGGAAGGGCCAAGCATACTCATCCATTTTAGTCCCCATGACGATCTCGCGGAGATACACGATGTTCGTATGGCGAGCCTCCAAGAGCGTCTGGATCTCCCGTAGTCCCGTTACCGGGAACCCATCCGGCGAATTCTCCATCTTGAGCTTCTTGAGAGCCACCACCTCCCCGGTCGTGATATCCCTCGCCCTACTCACCAACCCATACGAACCCTCCTCGATATGATTCAGCCGTTCAAAGTTATCCACAAGCCGACAGGGTCCCCATTCGGGTCCCGGAAACCGCAGGAGTGTGGACCGTGTCTGTTCAGCTGGCGCTTTGGCTGCAGACCCTGACACTGCGGAGGGCGTGGGCTGTTCGTTCGACAGCCGGCGACGCTTCTTGGGCGGAGCTTCCGAGTCGCCATTGAGCGCGTCTCCTTGCTGTTGCAGTGTCGCTTGTGCGGCCTGCAGCCGTGCTTGCTCCTCCAGTTGACGCTGTTTCTCTGCCTTGGCGCGTTTCTTCTCTTCCTTTTCGCGTTTTCGTTGTGCGAGGATGGCGTCTTCCTCGGGGTCTTCGCCGGCCCAGCGCGATTTGGACGCGGACATGGCCCCTATGAGGGATTGGAAGAATCCAAAACTTGTAGATTGCTGATGGAAACGGGGTATGTCGTTAATGAGTAGCGGTTGAATCAGCTTCGGGTTGGGAGATGAATTCGGAAAGGAGATGGTACAGCCCGGCTGGTATGGTGACGCTATCGGAATAATAGAACTTGGGGAATGTGATCGAAGGGCCGAACTCCATCGCCGATTTCAAAGCCCCCGCCTCGTCCCGCAATGATTATTAACTCGCGGAGGGGGACGGAGTTTGTTCTTTTGCTTTAAATACAGCTTCTAAAATTATTGATTTCATTTGATCTATCTTCTCTAACTGCGAGGATATATTCTCTGGAGTCTTTTAGCGCCATACCGAGATGATTGAGCCCTTCCAGGTTTGTTTTGGTTTCTTTGGCTGATATAGTTGCACGGTGCCATTGCCATCGATTACTGACTCGATTTGATAACAGACCACCTTCGCGGTGCCCATGACCTGCGAAAGCTGTGTCAAAGATGTGACTAACTCACTTTATAATGTTGAAGGTTCGTGCTTAGTGAGACGAGGTATTTAGCTGAAACCATGTACTGATTCAAATTCGTCCTACGCAGGCGTCAAGAAGGTTGACGCGAATCTTAAAGATCAGCTTGTCCTCATCGAGGGCACAGCGCCGCCTAGCTCGATAGTCACTGCCATTCAAGCTACTGGTCGGGATGCGATTCTACGTGGAAGCGGCACATCAAACAGTATGTTATACCTCCCCTTCAGAGGACGGACTTGCGCGGGCAGTACTGATCTGGTGGTGTGATACGCAACAGGTTCTGCCGTCTGCATATTAGAGACGCACTCGACGACCGTACCGAATAAGATCCGTGGATTGGCACGCATGGTGCAGGTGTCCTCGAACATGACTCTGGTAGATCTGACCATCAACGGGCTGGCACCGGGAAAATACTGGGCGACTGTCCGGGAAGTGGGGGATATCTCGCGAGGCGCAGAATCTACGGGGGGTATCTGGGAGGCGTTGAAGGCCAAGGTGATGGGCTCCGAGGCGCCCAAGGAGCCGCGCGGCGTGTTTGGGAGTGTGGATGTGGATAACAAGGGCCGGGGGAATGTCTTCTTGGATCGACCGGTGGCGATTTGGGAGCTGATTGGGCGGAGTATGGTCGTATCCAAGAGCCAGGAAGGCCCATTTCAACGAGAGGATCCTGATACGTTGGTCGGCGTGATCGCTCGTAGTGCGGGTGTGTGGGATAACGACAAAACTGTCTGCTCATGTTCGGGAAAGAATGTATGGCAGGAGCGACAGGAACAGGTCTCTCAGGGAATGATGTAGACTTCTGGAGTCTAGAATGTCCCCCAAATCTTGCATTGATTTATGATACCTATCACAGAGATGATGTCAATTGACCAGAATGATTTATTGCATGAACATTTGCAGCCACGATCAAGCAAGAATGGTAGGCGCAAAGGGAGCTGGGACCTGTAAGATTCTCAGTGGGACTCGATACTCCGAACTTGCACTGAGTGGACAGTGGGCAGTGGGCACTTGGCACTGGCGTTGTTGTATCTCGCGGACTTTGAGTGTGAGCGGGAACACACCTTGATCATGACAAGGACAACAGACAATTGTCTCCACAAACAGCTGACCATCGGATCGAGATCCCAGATAACAACGCGGCATGTCAGAACACCTCCGCAGAAAAGGCAGCAGAGGCCTAAATATAGACAGACGAAGTCTTGAGAGCAAGCGCCAGGAGATGGTCATTGGACAGGAATTTCTTCTCCTGCATTGATAGTATTGTTCATCCCTGTCTGACTGATGACAGCGTCTTCTCCTTGCATCAATAAATCGAGCTAGTGGCTGCCATGCTACCGTCTACATGACTATCGTTAATTGAGGATGCCCAGATACGCAAGCAGCTAGTGCCAGCCCAAGGGCAGTAAGTGTATTACTCCGTCATTAGGGAGCTAATCATGTTGTTCACTAACCGAGGTTTTCCTAGCATGGTAATAAGGGCCGGAGCTATCTCTATTGCTCTAAATGGAGTTTTGAAGAGATGTATCCTCCGAAGCCACTGATGGCCGTCTGTACAAGCGCCGTGGCGGGGATGCGGGAGAGCCTAAACCCAGTCGATTTGCTGGAGGCGTGTTAGCATGAGAAGAGTTGGTGGAAGCATCTATCTTATTAGCTGCGAGAAGTCTTGAAGGATTCTGCCGTCTCATTTCAAGTCAGAAATGGATATCTAGCCCCGTTAACCTAGAATGGCCTGACAAGAGTAGAGAATAATAGAAACCCCCTTGAAGGCAACAGTACAGTCTGGGAATGTGATGGTAAAGGATGGCCCCGCATAGATCGGGACGGGCCTTTTGCTGGAGCCCATCAATCACACCTTCAGATCACCACCGACAAGGGCCCGTTCGCCTTTCTTCACCCTTGATTGCTCAACTTACTTCGTGGTTATCGAATCTTGTTGCACAGTTCTCGATCAAATCAGATCCTTTGAATGAGGAGGAAATCATTTTCTCCCCTCATCCGAGTCACCGATTCCTCCATGAGCCGTTCCACGACGTCCTGTCGGGGTGCGCACCTGCAGGGGAAAGCTAATAATACAATATAAGTGGAGGATGGGATAATCCTCATGACAACCACCCAGGATGATTATGCTTCTCGACGCTGGGCGCTTACGGCTATTCAGGAGCGTCAAATCATCAATTGAACTGCATCCCTCTTCTCCATCACTTCCTTGGCAACTGTGCACTTTGATTCACGACTGTAATTATTTCCCCCCTTTCCAGAGACTCTCCAGTTTCCCAATCTCTGTGCGCATCTCCGATTTAGTAGTACTCGACTCATGCCTCTGACATACCTACTCTGTACAGAACGCTAGCTCGGCTTCTTCTCCTCAGTTGAGTAAGGTGGACTCACATTCGGGGACTGATTCGTATCCTTGCCATTTTTCTTCTGCTGCAGGCCCCATCTCTGAACGTTCCTTGCTTCTCCCTCTTTTCCTCCCTGCTTCAATAATTTTTTATGACGACTCCTTGTCGCTCATTCCGTCCTGCCAATCCCTATTCAAGAACTTCGTATCAGGTATCGTTCAAAGCGACCAGATGCTGGAGAAATAGAAAAGTCTCAGAAAGCAGCTTGACTGGCACAGGAATCCGAGGAATCGATCAATCCATATGACATACTGTCCTCATTTCTTACTAGCAGATTTTGGGCTTTCGGCTCTCTTAGACCACCGGATGATCTAATTATAACTTTTGACCTATCGTTCGTCCAGGATCACGGGGGGTCTAAGATTCACGGGATCGGCTGGGCATTCTGTCCAGAATAGCAGGCTTTCGGATTGCAAAAGACAGGCTACCTAGCTGCTGGGCACTCAAGCCACAAAGTACCACCACCGCACCACGAGAGAAGGGCTTCCTCCTGGTTCTTCAAAGGCCCTGCCCCGCCCCGCAGCTTTAGCTCCTACGTGCATCCCGTCGGACTCATTAATACCCCTGCTCACTGCGCCAGCCCACTATCTCGCATATCAGAAAAACTGGTCAGCCTCTTGGCTTCAAGTGCCGCCATATATAACTTAATCCTGCTTTTACTATTCCGTTGTGTGGGTGACTATCATCTGGCTTCCCTCGTCTCGACTCCGGCTTGTTTCTCAGGGCCGTACAGAGGTCGAAACACTACCAGGAGCTGAGTGGGACGGGGATATCGTCAGCTACTACAGTCTCTTCTTGGTTGTCATTTAGAGGCGCAGACATAGAGTTTGATTCTACAGAAAGATGTCATTGAAACAGGTATGAGTGACCCTTCAAGCTCGCAATGCAGATCTGACATAGAGCAGGAAATTGAGACATGGGTGTTGGCTCTAGAACACTACGACAATCAAGAGTATGAGGAAGCCATACGGATCTTTGGTCATATTGCAGATACGTCCAAGATATTCTTCAACTGTGGAGTCATCTATGCAACGCTGGGAGAGCATGAAAAAGCCGTATGTTTATTTATTCAAACCCATTTGACGGCAGTCCACTGAACATTCAGGTAGGTCCAATGTTACCAACGCGCCGTCAGTCTAGACCAGTACCTTGCCATTGCCTATTTCCAAGAAGGCGTGTCCAACTTCCTTCTAGGCGATTTTGAAGAAGCATTGGCCAATTTCAATGACACCCTTCTCTATCTTCGGGGCAATACATCCATTGACTATGAGCAATTGGGCCTGAAATTCCGTCTCTTCTCGTGTGAGGTCTTGTTCAATCGGGGACTCTGCTATATCTACCTGCAGCAAATGGGGCCAGGCATGCAGGACCTCGAATATGCAGTGAAAGAAAAGGTCACTCCCGACCACGATGTCATTGATGACGCCATTCGGGAGAGGGCAGAGGTATAACCTATAGTGCCTTAGTTGTCGAGTTTTTGCTGACCGAAGCAGGGATACACGGTGTTCTCGATTCCCGTGGGAGTTGTCTATCGACCCAACGAGGCCAAAGTCAAGAATCTCAAAACAAAAGACTATCTAGGCAAGGCGAGACTGATCGCAGCGTCATCGCAAGGCAACATGCGGAATGGACATCAACCTACAGATTTAATACGAACTCAATCAGCGTTCGATGACCGCTCCGCCGACAGCATCTCGTTCGCTGCCACGAATCTGGTCCAAAAGAATCTGTCGGGACGAAGTCGTCAGCAGTCGGAACCCCCGCTAAACCGCACTTTGTTCCCACCTACGCCACCTCCAGAAGGTGACAAGGCTAGCACAAAGACCTCTTCCAGTAGTAGCGTGGGTGCCAGTGGTAGACCAGGTTCGGTTCGGGCGGCGCGGCCTCCTCGGCTCAATCTCGATCCAGCGGGCTCTCAGCCCAATGGGAGGAGTAGCGCAGACATGCCCGCCTCGGACAAACCACGGATTGGGACGACTCGTACGGCCTCTGAACCCCGTGGACCACCCAGCCGACATTATCCACGGGGGCTAAATGGTCCAGAGACCGACAGATATCTTCCTCCTCGGGAAACGGGAAGCCACAGAAGAGGAACCAGCGAAACAAGTTCTGCATCAATCCCTCGGAATGGCTACGGTGAGGACGGGTGCGGAGTGTACACAAGCCCACGATCTATGGCCAGTAGCGGACGAAGAGCCATGCCTCCTCAGCAGCAACGGTACATTGACGAAGAAGAGGAATACGTGGGCGATTCGTGTGGTGTACATGGTGCCCGCGGCATCTACGAGACACCCGGCAGCTCGCAGCGACGAACCAGATCACCGGTCCGAGAGTCAAGGCGAGCCGACTCACGCAGGCCTGATGTCCGCAGATTCCGGATCAAAGTTCATGCTTTTGAAGATACCCGGTATATCATGATCGGGCCCACGATGGAGTACAGCGAGTTTGAAGCCAAGATTCGGGAGAAGTTTGGCTTCCGCTCGCTTCTACGAATCCGAATGCAGGACGAGGGCGATATGATTACAATGGTGGATCAGGAAGATTTGGACCTCCTGCTGAGTTCGGCCACCGAGGCAGCTCGGAAGGAGGGCAGCGAGATGGGCAAGATGGAGGTGAGTCCGGTCCATACGTTTATGAAATGACCCGTAACTGACTGGCTTTAGATATGGGTGGAAGAAAGACCAATGATATAGTTCTCAAGGCGTTCTTTGCAAGAGGATTTTCTGGCTATAGATGAGCAGAGAGCCAGTCTCTGCTGTTGCATTCTTGGTGCTGTCAGTGCTGATTTTTCGATGTTGCATGATTTATACCCTTTGATGATTCGTACGAGCGAGATGATCTTATTTCAGCTTATGTATTTATATGGATACCCATTGATTGATATGCAGCGTACTTTTGTCCAGCGACTGCAGTAGGATGTATCTCTTAATTGTCTTAACTAGAAAGAGTGAAATGACTAGGGCAAGTTGGATCACGGGAATGCGGGCAGCTATAGAGACCCACTGCGCAGTGACGTTGATTGTTGACAGCGAGGCTTCATCTTCTGTTGCTTCCCTCCAGCTACAGCTCATCACAATCTCCGTGAAACTGATTACTGAGGGATTATATCAAAATGGCGGACATTACCTCGGATATCAACCAACTCCTCAAGGACAAACATGCAAGCACCACAATACCCAAGGGGGAGCCTCGTCCCCGGTCCACCGCAACCCCCGACGAGTTTCTCAAAGAAGCATACCGAATAGTCAGCGTGACCCCTCACCCAATGCCAGAATCGATGCTAACACACAGTAGAACTCGCACATCCACTCCCTCCTCCTATACCTCCAATCCATCCGCCACTCCTACCTCTCCACAACCCCAACCGTCCATCCCCGCACCACCTCCCTCCGCACCAGCGCAACCACCTCCACCCCGGCCAGCACCAGCACCAGCACCCCCCAAAGCAAACCCCTCACCGACACCGAACGCGACTCCATCGACTCCTCTACCGCCCTCCTCCTCCGCGACCTCTCCACCTCAATCGCCAATCTCTCCACGGCCGAATCCCTCCGCCAGGAAACCGAATCCGGCCTCCTCCGCAAGAAACACCGCGCCCCGTCCGCCCTCCTCCGCTGGGCCGGCGGCGCCAGCGCCCTCGTCAACACCCCCACCGAAAACAAATCCCCCGAGCAGATCCATGACGAGGAGCGCGCCCGCACCCTCCGCACCGTCCGCGAGAGCATCCTCTGGTTCCTGCGGCGGGGGCTCGAGCGCGCGGCCGAGGCCCAGCGCGATATGGTCGAGAAGCGCATCGAGCGTGTACGCGAGAAGGAGAAGAGCGTCCTGTATAAGAGTGAGGCGGGCGGGGCTAGGGCCCCTCTCTCTGCCTCTGCCTCTGTGCCTGCCTCTGTGTCTGGCTCGGGGCCGGCAACCGCGGAACCACACTTGCGTGGAGCGACGCTGAGCGAGACCGAGTCCGCTGCCATCGAGGCGGAGCTGTCGCCCGAGCAATTGCAGTTGTTTGCCGAGGAGAATGATCTCATGCTGAGGCAGTATGAGGATGCGTTGAGTAAAGTGCAGTACGTTACGTTCCATTGTTCCCTTTATACTCTGATGGAAGTGGATTGGGTGATACTAATGGTTTTGTGCAGGAATGCCGAGAAATCGCTCCTGGAGATCTCCTCCCTCCAGCAGACGCTTGTGTCGCATCTGTCGACGCAGGAGGAGTATATCGAGCAGCTGGTCACGGATGCCTCGACGACGACGTCGAACATCGGGCAGGGGAATAAGGAGCTGAAGCGCGCGACGCAGCAGCGGAGTACGGCGCAGGCGGTGTTTTGGGGGACGGTGGGACTGTGTACGTGGCTTGTGGTGTGGGATTTGATTTTCTAGCTGGCTGGCATGGCATTACTGGACATAGTACTACGATACCATTCTGATCAGATGCACCGTTGGTTAAAAATGTGGTTGAGAATGAGTTCATTGAGGAAAACCCTCGCCCAAGGCGATCTACATATGCGAGTAGAGTAACGGCTCAATCCGACGGGCCATGCAGAGTAAAAAGGAAATACATTCCATCCGAAGATGCGAAGGGGTAATTAGAATGGATAAGAGATGCGGATGGATCATGACAGAGGACGGATATCTGGCGAAGAAATGAGCAGAAGCGAAGCGATTATGAGGTCTCGCGGACGACGCTGTCGACCGCTTCGGCGAAGTAGTCGATGTTATTTGTGTTGAGGCCCGCCATCGAGATACGGCCGTTCTTAGTCTAGAGAATAAAATATTAGTTTGTTGTCTCGCAGTCAAAGGAGAGGCGTAGCTAGTTATAAGGGACTGCAACTGCCGTGGCTATGGCCCGAGGAGCGGGGCGGAGAGCCCCAGAAATTGCGGTGTCTAGCCGGCGCCGCTAATAAAAGGAGACGCAGCCACTTACCATGTACACGTGCCACTTGTCTCTAAGGATCTTGACCTGCGCTTCGGTCAATCCAGTGAAACTGAACATGCCGATTTGACTGGTGATGTGGTCCCAGTTGCCGGGGGTGCCCTTTGCCTCGAGGCGCTCCCGCAGACCCTTGCGCATCTCCACGATACGGCCGCTCATCGTCCGGAGGTCGTCCTCCCACTCGGCAAAGAGCTGGGGGTCATTGAGGATGCGGCTGGCGATGCGCGCGCCGTACGCGGGCGGGTTGGAGATCTCGGAACGCTGCAGGATGGCTAGCTGGGAGGCGATGTGGGCGTTGGCGGTTGAAGCGTCGGGGCCCGGGGCCGAAACGAAGTGGAAGGCGCCGGTGCGCTGACCGTACAGACCAAGGTTCTTGGCGAAGGACTGGGCGATGCAGAGCTCGAAGCCCTGATCGACGAAGTAGCGGATCGCCCACGAGTCACGGGAGAGGTCGCCGGACGCGAAGCCCTGGTACGCTGTGTCAAAGAAGGGGAAATGCTGGCGCTCGCGCAGGACGACCGCCACTTGCTTCCACTGGTCCTGGGTCAGGTCGACACCGGTGGGGTTGTGAGCGCAGGCGTGCAGGACGACGATGGAGCCGGGCGGAGCTTCGCGCAGGGCACCGAGCATGCCGTCGAAGTCGAGACCCTTGTTTTTGGCGGAGAAGTAGGGGTAGTTGGCGAGGGAGAGGCCGACATTGGTGAAGATCTGGTGGTGGTTGGCCCAGGTGGGGCTGGAGAGGTAGACCTTGGGGGGGACCGGGTGGAATTTGGCCAGGAACAATGCGCCCAAGTGCAATGCACCTGTTCCTGAAATGGCTTGCAGTGTGCAGACCTGTTATCAGCCCGCCGATTAGCTTTCCGATATCCAACTACGGTCGCAGGGCGTTGAAAGGGAGTGAGCGCGGGTCAACATACTCGCTTATCCCGAATGGCTGCACTATCCGCACCGAGTATGAGCTTTTGAGCGGCCGAGGTGAAATCTGGAAGACCTTTGATGGGGAGATATTCATGGTTGAGGTTGGGGTCGTTGCGGATCGCCTCGTCGGCCTGGATCAAAGCCGTCAGTCACGGCCTCTTTTCATCAGGATACTGCTGCTGGGGGGACGGTGAATCACCTTTTTTACTACCGGAAGGATCCAAGGCTTTGCGTCGTTGTCTCTGTAGGCGCCAATGACAAGGTCTACTTTTTTGTCCGAGGGATCCTGACGGAAAGCTTGAACCAGACCAAAGAGAGGATCTTCTGGAGCGGCGGGCACAACGGCCGTGGAGAAGACGGACGGGCTGGAAGAACCCATTATGTGTGAGGAAAGGGAGGCGAGACGATTTCGAGCGATGGAGGATGATGATGAGAGAGAGATTGATGAGGAGGAGGAAGAGGTGGTAGTAGTAGATGTGGTGGGTAGACGCGGGGAAGACATGGCGCAGGATGCAGATGAGAATTAAATGACGGGTAAATAAAGGCCTGCACCAAAAATGGTATGAGTAATGGAAACCCAAAATGCGGGAATTTTTCCTGTTCTGGGTCTTCTGTTTTCGCTCTCGAAACAAACTCAGCAATGACTGGGGTTTATTTTTGGAGATCAATCATTCTCCAGTCACCATAATCATACCACTTGGGGGAAGGAATTCTGCTTGCGTTCACCGGGCGGAGCGATTCGGTCAACTGACAAGTCTGACAGGCGTAGGCCCAAGCAAGAAGCAGATAAATCCCGACGGAGTTATCCCAAGCGTCCTTAATAATATGACAGTCAGGGAATGCGATATATTGAAGATGATGCAGACCGAGAGAAAGCTATGTCGATGAGGGGAAACCCAGGCCCAGTGAGGGGTATCTTTTTGTGTCTGAAAAGGGTAATATTGGGTATGGGAATAGTATCAATCCTGATCGTGAGCCTGACCACTAGATAGTCAATGACATAGAACCGAGTCAAAACAAATAATCAGTCCATTAGAGAGGTACTCATTCCCCCTCCTTTCGCTATTTATGTAAGAGAATCATTCGACCCAACTTCACCCGACCAAAGCGTGATTTTTCCTCCTGACGGCGAGCCGAGGAACTTGCCTGCCCCGATGCCGATATAACACAATAGCATGACGACATCACATGCTACAGTCCTTTATCAACGCACATTAAGCATTATGATCTTATCCTCGAGATGGTTTACTCAAGAGCTGTCTGCCTTTAAGGACGGAGGACCTTTCGACCTCGAATGATATCGTCGCATGCGACACGCTCGGCCAACCAACCACCGAGGCTGTATAGTCAGCATCACCATCACCATCACAAGTCGTTATCTATCTGCTCTAGAGAGGTAAAGCGCACACGATAACAGTGTTTAACCAACATGCCAGCTTTCCCAGCCCTGTGTCAAATCATAATCCAGACTTCTTGACCAGAAGATAACCTACAGGTATTCTTATTGTTGATTCCCAAGCACCAGAGTCCAGAGTCCGGAGTGTTAATAAGGCTAAATGTGTCTATCGTCATACCTGCAGCAATAATTAACCGACCTCCCCATAAATTTGTAAGATCTTTGCTCCAGTTGGCAAAAAAGAAGGTCAGGGACCCGGCGGAGTTACCCCGACCAAACTCTTAGATAATAGCAGGGGTAGATGCGTGATTAAATTTCGGCTCTGGCTCCGCATCCGCTCCGCGATTCTGAGTAGATACCACTATATATACAATATCTTGCCCAGGTAGTGTTTGCAATTCTATAGAGTAATACTCCGTAGTACATGCATTCTTTCCGGGATACATCAGTGT